TTTTGAAAATCATTGTTATTTCAGAAGTTATGTATCATTGAAAAATAGTTACCCAAAGTACAAGTATTTCCCCTATACAGTCCAATTTTTTTTTAAATATTTAAAAGTATATTTACAAATAATACAATTTTTCCGTCTCAGTTTTTGACTGAAGGATTACCAAAATGGGCATTCCTCCGTTAGGCGTTCGGAAGATTTACAAAAATATCACATTTGTTATTATTTATTCAAGTTTGTTGTTTTATCATTTATGTACTCTTTTTTTTTTCGACAGCTTCTTTCTCATTGATATTTGTTAATGTCGTAATAATGTAGCATGAAAATGTTGACACAAATCTTTCCTGTGTTAAAACACAGAATAATCTCCTACCGCAGACATGTTTCTGCCAAGGCTAATTGAAAATTGTGGTAATATTCGCAATAAATCGGAATTGCAGAGGACGAAAAGCGATGTGTCGGAGTTGTGGTGGACTGGCAATTCCATTTCCAAATCCTAATATCATCAACGACTTCCAATTTATCTCAACTTTGAATGTCCAAACGCGTTAATATTCTTAATATTTAGATAGGATTCTATCTGGATTAATGATAAAATATCATTCAAATCATTACAAGAATTTTTTGGTGAAATTCACATTTAGTCTTGGACAAGCAAAAGGCATTAAATGAAATCAATCCAGCGAATAATATCCTGTGGAAAACGATCCTTTGTTGACAGAATAGCCCAGTGGGAGGCTTTAGCTGAAGATATGGAGATAATAACCAGAACTGAATTAAAAAAATCATTTAGTGAAATGAAAAAAAGAAAGTTAAACTATCGAGCTTGAAGGTAATTAAATTAGGGAAAATAAAAAAATAGAAACCGTGTTTGTTATAGTTTTAAAAATGTTGATTCGACTACTGCAGCACTTACAAGACAAACCCTCTAAACTATTTACAAAAGACTCATATATATATATATATATATATAAAACTTTAGTAAGGCCTATTTGGACTTACGGTATCGAGTTTTGGGGCTCTACTAAACCATCAAATTCCCCTCGTATCTAATCCCTTCAATCCAAAATCCTTCGTAAAATTCTTAATGCTTGACACAAATAAAATCATCCATAACGATTTTAATGTACCATATGTTAAGATCCATATAAGCTTAAGCCAGATATTTATCCATCCATAATAAACTCCTGAACCATACGAACCCTCTTGTTTCCAACCTTGCTTCCTCTTCTATTCTTGATTACCCTTCGAGGCGTCTGAAAAGTAGAAGGCCTCGAGACCTTCTAATATAGAAATATAATTAGAGAGCTACTAATGGGTAGTTTATCTTCATGTTGCATATGCCATATTACTTGTTTCATATTTAAGTGTTGCATTTATGATTTAATACTGTTGTAAATTTCAATAATAAAAATTTAAGAAAATGTTGATGATCATAAATTTTGTCGAAACTTATCAAGATCAAGGTATACAGCAACAGTCTTCATGGACTTATGGCTATGAAACCCGTAAATCCTAAAGTATTTGAAATTATCATTATTAGTAGGAATCATATATATTATATAGAGAACTTACGTTGGTGGTCAATGGAAAATGGAAAATAATGATGATATAAACACCTTTCTGAAGCGCGTTCTTCTCACTTTCCAAGGTGTTGAACTCCCGATAAATCTCAAAGTAAGAATATAAAATGTTATGATAAAGACAGTTATGGTATAAGACTACGAGACCTGGACACTAACCAGCATGGAGAAGAAGAACTAATAAAGAACTACTGACAGAAATTGATCAATCAATTTCTCATGATAAGAATCAAGGAGATTAAGATGGGCTCGGAGTAATCCTTAAAGAAGCCCCTAAACAATGAATATCGCAGTAGAATTCATGGGATCGCGAGGAAGGACAAAAAGCTTATGGTTAGATCGAATCTATAATAATGCAGTAGCGCTGCATGCAGATAACAGGAAAGCGATAGCCCAAGAAAGCTAGAGATGGCCGATTAAGGCTTAAATTGCGAGATTGGTTCACACAATGGAAAATTCGACTAAATCATGACAAATCCAAACATATAACATTTACTCTTCGTAAAAACACCTGCCCTCCAGTTTATATTGACAACAATCAAATTCCTCAAAAGGACACGGTACTTTACCTTGGACTCACCTTCGACAGAAGGATGACATGGGATCCGCATATTAAAATGAAACGTAAGACACTTATCAAACTACTTTACTCTCTTTTTTCTAAATCTTCAAAACTAAAACTAAAACAGAAACAGAATACATATATATACTTACTTAAACCCACATGAACCTACCCATTGCAAATATACTGCATCGCTAAAAAGACCCACCTAAAAAAACTTCAAACGTTCCAATGAAATTATTGCGACTCATAACAAAAGCACCTTGGTACGTGACTAACAATACTCTACATACTGACCTCCATCTTCCAACAGTTGACGACTTTACAGTAATTTAAACGGACATAATAACAGACTAATAAGAGACATTACCACAGCTGATATACCTCAGAACATGAGGAGGAGACTAAAAAGGTGTTGGATGAGAGATCTAAGTAATTGGAACAAGTTAGGGAAGAGGTACTGCTGAGTACTTTCCTTCTCCACGCCTGTCATGTCATCATTATTTCATGTATCGCCATCACATTTGATGGTTGTCAACAGTAAGTTGACAGGCGCAAATACATTTTTATAGACAAAAAAAAAACATAATTATAAACTATTGTTTATATTATATATATATATATATATATATATATATATATATATATATATATATATATATGCTGGTTGTGTTTCTGTTAAAGTATCTTTTAATTTTGTTGTAAGATTGATGTAAAAAATGAGATGTATCACCGCCAAGTGGCCCTTCCACTGCCTCCGAGGAGGGAGGATAAAATTATTAGCTAGGTAATTAAGGAGGCAGTGATGGCCCTATCTGCCTCTGACGTCACATTTGTTACACTCAGCTTTCTTTTGACAGCCACTCACTTTTTATAACGCCTAGGATAAGAGGGGGCGAAGAGGGAGGTTTTGATGAATCGATCTAGCCTCCGGTCCTTTCAATGAAGGTATCAACCTGGAAATGACCATGGTTTCGAATCCCGTTATCATTAAACGGTTTTCCTCCCCAGAACGTATAAATCCTGGAATGATATCCATTCTTGAGAATAATGGAACCCGTATTTAAATAAATAAAATATTAAAAAACTTTCACTTACCACTTTGAGTAGAAATTATTCTTTTAGAAAAATTGGGCTATTATAAAAAGTTTTCAAGTGCATTTTTAACTGAGCTAAACTTTAAAGAAGACTTTTGTTTATTTTGGTCATATTTATCAATGCGAAAGACCAATAAAATAACGCAAACCTTATCTATTTTTTTTTTAAACATTTTTATTGAGAAATATTACAATCTGTCTCAGTTAAGGACACTTATAATAGAGTTCAGAGAGTACATTCATACCGCATATACAAAAATATAAATAAAGTAATAACAAAAGAATGAAAAAAAAAAGAACAAAAGAAAAAAAAAAATATATATATATACACTCATAAGTAAGAAAAATAGAAATAAAAGTAATATAAACATCTTAGATACAAGAATACCTATTTATACTATTTGCAATCAGCCAGGGAAACTCCGTGACATTCTTGTTCCCCCACATGTGGAGGGAAAAGCGAGCCTTAGAAGATCCCTACGCTTCTCCCTCAGCCACTTCACTGGTATTTAAAGCCAGCGGAGGATGAGTAAGAGCGCTACAGCCACAGACACTCATGGCTTGAGCGGAGAATCTGGCCGTTGCTAAAACTCCAAAATATGTACAAAAGATGAGACATTTTGTAGAGGCCAACGCCGCTTTAATCTAAGAAGGGATGGGATGGGTTATGCTTGATAGGGATTGTGTATTTATTAAGACAATGAAAACTCCAACAATAATTGATTTTTTATCTTCTGATACGTCGCATTATTTTCTTTTCTTATTAATTTGGAATTTGATCACTTAACAATATGCTGGGCGAATTTTCCCCACGGGCCTACTAGTGTATATTATTTTGTATACAGTTTTAAATTTCATAAATAATGCTTTTTTTTTTTTTTTTTTTAATGAAATTTACAACTGTATTACATAGAAAATACAATAAGTAAATGTGGTTAAATAAATGTGGTAAGTGGTGGTAATAAATGGACATTGGTAACATGACATGTACAACATGAAGAGAAACTACCCATTGGTAGAACTCAAATTAAAGTTCTATATTAGAAGGTCCCGAGTCCATCTTCTTTTCAGACGCCTCGGAGGATTATCAGAGATCGAGGAGGAAGCAAGTTTTGAAACGAGAGGATTCGGATGGTTCTGCAGTTTGTTATGGAAGCATAGGTATCTGGATTCTTTATGGATGATATTATTTGTGACAAAGTAAGGAGCTTTGAGGATTTTACGAAGGATTTTGGATTGAAAGGATTGGATACGAGACGAATTCGATGGTTTAGTGGGGCCCCAAAGCTCAATTCCGTAAGTCCAAGTAGGTCTTATTGTTGTCATATATATGAGTCGTTTAATTGATTGAAAACTTAGAGCGTTTGTCTAATAAGTGCTGCAGTAGTTGAAAACGTCGGGCGGTTTCTAGTCGTTTCAGTCTGGTATGGGGGTTATAAATAATGCTAAAAATAAAACTGATCACATAATGGACTTAATATAATCTTCCCTACTTTGCTCCATTAATTTCTAACTAAAGCTTGCTATTCTACGATGCCGTTTATTGGCCATTGAACACTTCTTTCCTCCATATTTTACGTAAATGTCCGTTCAGACATCATTACAATCTAATTTGCAAAAAAAAACTAGCAGTTCCCTTCGTAGGATAAAATTATTCTCCGAGTAATGGCGCTTGATTGGCTAGAATCGAACCCCCGCTGGGATTTGCCTATCAAGGTGCCCCCCGGCGCGTCCCTCCCCCCTCAAGATATTGGCCACTAAATGTCCCGGCTGATCTATGCTTCTCTCTTAATGGAATACTCTCAGCTACCCCAACTCCTCGGCTCTCGGTTCGATAGCCCGTTCCCGAGGCCTTACAAGATCATATGCTCGAGGGTTATGGAGGAAGCAAGAGGATTGGGTGGAGGAGAGGGGGGCGCGTTATATAAAGGGCTTTCAATTTAGCTATTCGGGAAAGTGAACTTTATATAAATACTTTAAATAAATAAAATGTATAAAAGAAATGTGTAAACTAAACTATACTCGTAGAACTGGAGTTCCCAACCTTTTTTCTGCAGGGGACACATTTGTAGATAATGTCTTGAGTGGCGGTCATGCTGCTTTTATTCATTGTAAATCACAAGTATATTAGTGTTTAAAAATTTAAAAAGAAATGTAAATGTATCAATAAAAATATAATATAGATTGATAGATAGAAAGAAAAAATCTGGTGTGTCCACTCACTCGACTTTCCTACCTATTTCAAAAAGTTTTTATATCTTTACATATGTCCATGAAGAAGCAGAAAAGAATTGAACTAGATACATTTTCCTGAAAATTTATCAAACATAAGATTTGAGTACGATTTATTTGATAAACTAAAGCAATGTAAACCGGCTTAAGATAGATCAGTGTAAAAATTTCAATACTTCCTAATATTGCTGATTAAAAACTTTTTGGCATAGCTTAATATTGACAAACAATAATTTCTTTTAAAAGGATAGGAAATAGTGAAGATTGTGTGATGGGGCCAACAGATTTTCTTACTTTCACTTAGTCATCTTTATTCTCTCATTCACCCTTTTCTGACACCAGGATATGAAACCGTAATCTTACATTGGAAATTGAATAGCTGTAACTTCGTTAATAGTTGTCCAAAATGAACGATTTTTATATGGCTTTGTAGGGAATTTCATTACCTTTCAGACAGACAGACAGACGAACAGACCTAAAAATGTGTTTTTCGGACTCAGGGTGCTGTGAAACGTATAGATCCGTCGAAAACCGCATGTCGGAAATTTGACCCGATTGCGATACTTTCCTTACCTGGTATAGGTAGGAAAGTAATAAAATAAGTTTAAAAAGATATGTGTAAAAAATAGAATAAGCTGTATCATCGCTAATACTGGTTCGATTCCGATGATTTTTTTTTTTGTTTTGTTGGTAATTTAATTACCTTTCAAAAGTTTTATTATAAATTTTACCGTATAATATATATTTAGGGAATTAGGCCCGATAACATTTTTCTTTTCTTTATAACTTTTTTTCCTGAATTTTTTGGGGAATTTAGTCTATATACGAAAATTGAAAGAACAATGATTAGAACATTATAGGAAAGTTTCATCAAAATCGTTAGAGCCGTTTTTGCGCTACAGTCTGTAGAAAAACATGTTTTTCATTTATTGCGCGCAAGCTATTGCGCATGGAGCACCGAATTTCTTTCACAGCCATCAGTAGTCAAAACCCTACAAAATAAAAAAAGAAGCAACAAAATCAGTAGTTACCGAGAAAATCTTGGCACAGACAGACAGACCAATGGCTAAAAATGTGTTTTTCGGACTCAGGAGGCTGTGAAACGTATAAATCTGTCGAAAACCGCATGTCGAAAATTTGACCCGATTGCAATACTTTCCTTACCTAGTATAGGTAGGAAAGTAAAAAACTTTATTCTGGGACTAAGTCCCTTTAGAATAACAATATTGTACAAAAGAATAGAATATTACTAGCCTAAAAGTTTGAAACAATAAATAAAATTGATAAAATAAACTAAAAAGTAAAGAAAACCTTAGGTGCACAAGCTATATACAATACAGATAAAACTATGTACAGAGCATTTAAAACTATGAATAAAACAATTAAAACTATAAACGAGTCACTTGAACTATGAACAAAACTATATATAAGTGTTGAACAACATAAACATATACTTTGAGAAATGAAGAACGAAAAAGAGAGATAGAATAATTTCATTTCATAAAAAAACTTTACTTGTATATATATATATATATATATATATATATATATATATATAAATAAACAGTTAATTATAATTGAATAAAAAAAAAATGTATGTATTGAAATTTCTACCTCAAAAGTAGGAAATGCATAAACTATCTCTTACCGAGAATTATCCTATGATTATATGATTGCTACACAATACATATATAGTATTAATAGTTAGCTGGTATCTGACTGTTTTTGGAACAGGAATTGGAATAGGAGGTTTTTGAATGCGTATATGGAGAGGGCATGTCGAATTTTGATCGGGAGGGAATTCCAAAAGTTGACAGAGCGGGCTATAAAGGAGTTTTGGAATGAGGCAGATCTATGAGAAGGGATGTATAGGTCAGAGTGTCGAGATCTTGTAGTGAGGGAATGGATTGAGGACTTAAATTGGAGAAGGTTGTAGGCATAAGTATATAAATAACTATGCGTATTTATTTATACCTGACATATTTATCATTTCTAAAGCTCATGAAATATATTTCTACAAAAAAGGCAAAAACACCGAGTGTAGTGTTGCCTAAATGGGAGACCGAGACGAGTCTTGGTCTTGCGAACTCAGTCTTGGTCAAGGTCTTTGTCTTGCGCAAGAGTCTCGCAACGGTCTTGCAGTTACCTATTAGCTTAGTGCTATATTTCTTTATAAAGAGGAAAACTAAGTAAGCCCAAATGAAAAATTAGAAGAGTTAAACGTAAAAGTATATTGGTTATAACCATTCTTTACACATAGTATCTAAAATTGTCAAGCATTAGTAACTATTTTGTCTTCATTTTTATTCAAAAAATCGATTTTTTTTTTACCAGTCTTAGTCTTGCTCTTGAAAATTGCAAGACTAAGACCGATTTTGGACAACACTAAACGAGTGCAATGATTGCAATTTTATATATTTTTCCTCTGTTAAATTAACACATTTTCAAATTTAAATTTAAAATTCATTAAAAGCTACATGGGCTATAACTAGTTATAAAATGAGTTAAACGCAATGTTACCGCAGTTTGCATTCATTTTTTTTTTTTTTTACTACCCAAGAAATAGATTAATCAAAACAATAGTAATGATTTATTGATAATGCTTATTATTTTTCTATGACAAAACTACTTAGTTCGAGCCTTTTGTCCCGGAACTTAAAAACTAGAATCTATTAAACCATTATCTTACCTACAGTACTTTATGGATGCGAAAGGTGGCCACTTGCATTAAGGGATGAGCAACGCCTTAAAGTTTTTGATAATAAAGTGTTGCGTAGAATATTCGGGCCGAAGAAGGATGAGTTAACCGAAGAGTTCACAAACACAACGCCGCATTGCGTGAACTGTATCCGATTAATATAATTAAGGTGATTTCATCGCTCCAAATAAAATGGACTTGTAAAAGTTTTGGGCTTAGTAACGAAAGAATTCCTAAAAGGTAACCGAATGAGTCATTCTGTCAACTGAAAGGCTCATTTATCAAGTTCTTTGCGACCTTTTAGGAATCTTAACTTTCCACTGAAATCTATGAACTCGTTCCTAAACTCAGTATAACTAGCTGATTATCACTGCTGGATTCAATAGATTGAAATCAATCCACAGAATTAGCGCTGAGTTTAGGAACATGTCCTAATTGTTTGTTGAATACAGTTCCTATCATGAGATTCCTATACTTTCTATCCTAATGTGATATTGAATCTATTATTAAAATAAATCTATAGACTGTTATATTCTTTTTGTTTTCCATGTATGTAATTCAGGAAATATTATTTAATTTTTTCTAGCATGACTTTCTTAAATTATCTTTCGTGGATGTGAATTGGTCATAACACCTCCTAAGGTGGAGTCTTCTCCCGATTGTGGGACAATACTCTGGATGAACAATAGGGAGAGGGTGTTATTGAGGAAATTCTCATCTAGTTATTATATCGGCTTTTCAAGGGGGCCGGAAATAAATCCAGTATTCTACGTGCGTCCTCCCCTTCCGCGTTCTTCCATCTCGACCGGGTCTTCGGCGATAAATAATGCAATCGTCGGTAGTTAACGTTCCTAATCCCCAATAAGGCACTCCTGCTATGAGAATTGCAAGACCATTATTTCAAATAAAGGTATTGCTATCTGCTGTTCTCAATATCAGACAGTAAATCATCATATATTGGCTTATTGATAAATAATTATCGTATCCGTTTCGGTGATGTGTTTAAATATACATTGTTTATATTAACAGTAAATGTTCGTTATCAATATTATGATATATTAATGTGTTTATTGTTTTTTTCAGGTTGCTCCTCGCCATGCGGTGAGGAGGGAGAGGTATACGAAGATGTGGGTGGGGAAGGGGTAGTCCGAGCAACCCCGTACTATTACGGAGACCTCACCTCGGACACTTCCGAGGACCGGATGTCGCCACGGCTCGACGACATGTCAAGGAGGCAACTCTATGAAACAGCTTTCGACTCCAAGATTAGTAAATCGGATGACGATTTAGACGTAGATGAAGTCACCCACAAATCGATTCTCGTCACAGAACAGAGCGAACGAGAAGAATACTACAAGAGGCCCAAGAGCCTGAAAGATCGGTCGATAGAAGACCGCCTCAGCCAGGGTATTCAAGAACTCGAGTTGCGACCCTTCGTCGCACCGACCCCACCTTCGAGCGCTCCTCTTCCTGCCAAGTTTCATACTCCCCATTGCATGGCTTCCGTCCAGAGCGCTCCAGACATTCCTGTCCGAGCGAAAGACCTCCGACTTCCTGTCAAGTCGAGTAAGCATAGAGTTGGTCTTAGAACGAGAAGTTGTCATCCGGAACCAGCTGACGATTGCAGCAGGTCTCTGTTCGAAGAACAAGGGAAAACTAAGAACCGTGGTTTGGACATTTTAGAAATAAAAGGCAGGCCACGGAGGTTCAAGTATTCGAGTACTGAGTCCATGGCTACTAGCAGTAGTGGTGGCAGCCTCGAGTCCATCCGAAGCAGTACGAGCGAAGGCAATCGTTCGACTTCCAGCTGTGAGAGCAGGCGCAGCAGTTCCCTCAGCTCTCACAGCAGCGATTCGACTGGCAGTGGAACAGGATTCCACCCCAGCATCAACTGCCTCAACACCAGGGTCTTCCAGCAAAACAAACTCAACATTCTTTCTCCGATATCCGACAAGTCTTCCCAAGAGCCATGTTCAGAAACCTCTGAAAACAATAAGAACAACAACTCCGAAAGGGCTTCTCCTGAAGAGGCTATTACTCCCGTTGGGGAGAGTCAGAAGAAGCGAAGAACACCTCAAAACAGAAATCTCATCAACCTCGGACTATGCTTCGACCAAGAGGTCCACCAAGGATCCGACAGCGGTATCTCCATCGAGTCTCGGATCGGGAAGAACAACACTTCCGATCTGACGGAAGACCTGCCGTTCGACATGCCCAAGCTGAGGCGCAGGAGGATGCAGGAGCCGCTGCCGCAGGACACCTCCGGCTCCGCCACTTCGGTGGACCTCCGCGACCTGCCCTTCGACATGCCCAAGCTCCGCCGGCGGCTGCGGCCAACTCCTAGCCTCAACTCCCAAGCTTCCTCCAGCAGTGGTCCGCAAGAGTGTCCCAATACAGGTAAACAATCATTATGGTTTGAATCTCAGACAATATTATTAACAAAATATATAATTATTATTAATATATGTATTTAGTCTGTCTGTGATTAAATTTTCTATCTCAAAATATTTTTTTTCAATAAGCAATAAGCTTCCGGGTAGCGGTAAAGTTGGGAGTTTTCTCGACCACCGCGTCAAAAGTAGTCGTGGGAAATTCAGGTTCTTGTTGGAATTAAATATCTGGGCTCACAGGCGGATCTACGGGGTGGGAGGGCTTTCGGGCTGAAGCCCCTTCCCCCAAAAATGGTAAAATATAACTGTGTTTTACAGAAAACAATATTAAAAACTATCTCTTAAAGTAGTCTTGTTCGTGTAATTACATTTAATAGGACTTCAAGAACCACTTAAACACCATTTCATAGGTAGCTAATTTTTTTTTCTAATTAATTATTGTTATATGTATATGGAAAAAAATCTTTCGGGCTGAAGCTCCCTCCAAAATTAAATCCTGGATCCGCCAGTGTTTGGGCTCATAAAAAATTGGAAGTTTTTGTGATATTGTGTTGCAGTATCTGAAACCGTTTGGATATCCAATTCCTTGTGTAATACGTCATTTGCCACATAGAATGGTGAGTCTGCAATTTATCGCAAGACGTTTAATTTTAAAATTTGAATTATATGGATATTAGACTTTATCGGAGATAATCTAAAAAAGGATTAGTAAATCCTGGAAGTTGCACAGAGCAAATCGCACTAAAAAATGTTTGCTTGCGTATATTTTTACGAGTTTTTTTTTTGGTGGGAGGAGGGGAGTTGAAAGTTGGAGGACCATTCAAACCAGGTGTTTAGTATCCTGCGGTTTGTTATGAGACAAAGTACGTTTTATTGTGTAAGCTTGTTTTATGTATAAGGTTATGGATGGACTGTGAGTTTATGAAATTCTCTATTGTAAAATGACTTAGGTATTATTAGAGTTGGTAGAGTAAGCCGAAATTCAGGAAATAATACAAAATTCGTGAACGTTAGTTGATTAATTTAACTTTGAATGTGATAAATTAATTTTTGATCATTTTCTGGGGGCGAAATTAATCTGTAAACCAGTTTAGCTGAGTATTTGTGCTAACCTGACTACTCAGATTGTTGGTTTTCTCTCTTCTCTTCATCTCCATGTTTAGTCTTTGAGCTGGTGCTTTCCTTTATTGTCTACTCCATGTTCTTAAAGAGACTTAATTACATAGAAAAAGACTTGTTAAAAATTTAGCAGAACCTTCATGGATATTATTTTTCCTGTTAAAAGGTAAGGGATGCTAGAAGTCCGTCCTCCACTGAACATATGGGAGGCCCGTAGTAATATTTTCTAATGAATGATGAATTTTAAATTATTGCCTTTTCAAGATGTTCAGGAAACAATATCAAGTATAATTATCATGTGATCAGCCATTGTTCAAATTCTATTTTCACTTACACTAGTTTTAAAAAAAATATGAGCAATACAATTTCTTGGGATGGGGGATCAGGCGCCATCAACCCTAAGGTTGCTAGGGCACCCCTGTTCAAGCCTTTCTTTTTATTATCCGAATCACAAAACTAGACTTTCCAGAGCTTTTGTGGCACTGTTTTGTATGGTCATATTCAGTTTTATAAATTATATATGCGATAAATAACAATTAGTCAAGGAAAATCTTGAACAGATCCGAGAACTTCGGTCCTGAAGCTCATTGAAGTTGGGAAAGTGCTTAAAGAGGACGACGTTGAAGGAGTTGAGGAGCCCCCCGACAGAGACTCGAGTTAATGATGCATTCCCTACTCGATTTGTTGGATATGAACCCTAATGAAGAGAGCAGGAGTTGGAAGAGGAGGGGGGGGGGGCGAGTGCACCAAACGGAGTTTGATGATTTAACTAATCTTAGGTCGGGGAACTTGGCCTCTCCGAATTTCCTCTTTGGAATTGAACTCGAGTCTGAAAGAGGCATGTCATTATCATTTCACATCTCCAAAAAAAAAAAAAAAAACGAATTGGGAGGGGAGAGCTATAAATATAAACGAGTAAAAACTCATTAAGAGACAGAAACTCGATGTTAGGTTATTTTGAGAAAAAAACAATCGTACAGACTTGTGACTTTAAGGGGCGGGGATGGCCGAGCGGGCTAACGCGTGTGCACAACACCACGCGTTGCATGGTAACCCAGATAGAAGATTTATCTGATAAAGTAATATGTTTCTACGTTTAGGTTTCGCGTCTCGGTGCCAAGGGGATCTTTTCACTCTGGCATTTACCTCCCGCCTTTATCCCTGGCTCGGGAAAATCTCCGTATAGCCTAAAAGGCGAGGTAGGGGCTGACAATAAAAAATACTTGTGTCTTTAAAATGCAGTTAAAAAATAAAATATAATCCGTCAACATTTCGCCAATTCAGGTATAGTCAGAAATCAAAACAAACCCAAGATCTTTGCAATTATCCAAGATAGAAGCAATTATACTTGGTAAAGTGTGTTGGGATTATGAATATTTGTGTTGAAAATATTATGGCAATATTACAATTGACTTCAAAAATAGTTTGTCTTTTAAATGACAAGTATAGAATGTTTCTGTTAACCTTCATGTATCACAAAAAAATTTATAGTAGTAAATACAGGCTTTCCAATCAAATACTTTTAAGACTCATTATGCGTTCATCCTGGTGAGTACTAATGAGTCACATTCGGATTTCATATAAAGAATTCCATAGCAAACTTCACGGACATACTAAAAAACTTCATGCAAAACATGCCCATAACACATATGCCAGAAAACTCCCGACGAAGGTTGAAAAGTATCAGGTTAAGAGGTCCTGTATTATTTTTTTATTTTTTGGAGTATGTGTCGATGGGTTTCGATGCTTATTGCTGCAGGCTGTGTGACAAATGTGGATAAAAAATAAAAGTTAAAAAAAAATGCTAAGTTGTGTGCTTTAGACCACATGATAGAAGTGAAAACACTAACAAGACGAGATTAATAATATGAAATATAATCTTCCATAAAATTCTTAATCATTTGGTTTTCAACATTTTTTTCCTTTTCGCCTCTCTAACTCGGCGTCGAGTTAAAATACAATTTTGAATAATACCACATTTTAGTTTATGAGATATTTTAATCCATATGTAAAAACATTTCAATTAGCCGACTTTACCCGAGCGTTAACACTTCGGAAATCTGACGAATCAATCTAATTCACTCTTCACAACAAAGTGCGAAACGCGTCTAAACAAGCTTTCAATTAAAAAAACAAAACAATGAAAGTGTTGGAAGTTCAAATGATCTTAAATATGGTTTCCTACTAAATTAGAAAATAGTTCAATTTAATTTTTTTGTTCGTTTATTTATTTTTTTATTCGGATGAATTGTATGTTTCCGAAAGTCGAATTTTAATATCGATAGTATAATATATCGAAATAAAACAATAGGACGCAAATATCGACGTATTTTTATAGAAAATATTTTAGATATAGATACTTCCAATATCCATATTAGAGTTGCTCAAAATCGATCTTGGTCTTACGCTTTATAAGACCAAGGCCGCCTAACTGTTGCAAGACCAAAACCAGGACTGGTAAAAAAATCAATTTTTGAAAATAAAAATCAAGGCAAAATAGTTACCAATACTCGACAATCTTAGTTACTAAAAGTTAATAATGGATATAACCTATATACTTTTGCATTTAACTCCTCTAATTTTTCATTCGGGCTTAGTTAGGTTTCTCCTATCTAAAAAATTAAAGTAATATCTCTTTAGTAATAAGCTAATAAGTAACTGCAAGACTGTTGCGAAAGTCTTGTGCAAGACCAAGACCATGACCAAGACTGAGTTTGCAAGACCAAGAATCGTCCCGGTCTCGCATTTGTGCAACAGTAATTCATATCGATTTCTCCGTCTTTTTTTTTTTTTCATTTCAAGTCTCTGAAGAATCGATTGTAACCTGGATCACCATCTCCAATAATGTAAATATTTTAGACAAATAATGGCCATGGCTTTGAGATAACGAGTTCCAGAAGCTGTTTGGACAGTATGCGATTTCCAATTACTACCTCCAAAGCCGTGCTCGGAGACAAGAGAGCAAAGATAAGCTAACCGAGGAGCTTAAATAAACAAAAGCTGATTCTGTAGGGGAGATGTTTTTGATTGCGTTGTGCTCCTCGAGTTCGTGCACGTCATAACGAATAACAGATGCTCCCCGATGCAAGAACCGACGACCCCATCGCCGTATCTCGGGTAAAAGATGATTACCCCCCCTACTTTTTTTTGAGGGGGGGCTCATTTTTTTAGTTTAATAGGCTTATGTGAAAATCGGATCCATCGTTGACATTTCAATGCGTGTTCAGTCCTCAATAACAACAGTACTGTAACAGAAATTGAAAAAAATTGTAAAAAAAAAATAAAAAACTTATTAAGATTATAATTTGATGATAAATCTGAATATAAAACTCATCAGGTTTAAAAACTTATATTTCATCCCATTCTCATTCGTTGTTTAGTCCGTGGTATAAACCCCTTTTTATAAGTCCATTGTTTTTTTTGTGTTTTTTTTTATTATGATATTTACAACTGTATTTGTATAAATCAAATACACCAAGTACATGTGTACAGAGGAATATAATCACATGAAAACGCTTGTTGAAAAACTACCCATTGGTAGTAGTCTAATAAGATGCCTATTTGAGGAAATCAGGAAGCCATCTTCTTTTCAGACGCCTAGGAGGAGAACATTAAGGTCTTTACGGATTATTTTATTTGTGACAAAGTAAGGATTATTCAGGATTTTACGAAGAATTTTGGATTGCAAGGATTGGATACGAGTGGAATTTAATGGTTTAGTGGAATCCCATAGCTCAACTCCGTTAGTCCAAATAGGTCTTATCATGGTCATGTATATGAATCTTTTAATCATCCGTCTTAAACTATGGTAACTGTCGGAGATAGGAGGGTTTTCAATATAGCGATCGGTAAACTTTATCTATTTAATTACGTACTAAAAATTCGTAAATACTTTTTTGCTTTCTACTTAGATCGTAAGAGAATTTGATCACAAAATCGAGATAAAAGATGGCCTTCAAAAACATTGAGCAGTTTGGCGCGTGACCTACACCCCCAAATTTTCAAAATAACGAGATTTCAAGGCCAAAAGGCCTATTTTTGCAGGCCACCTTTTTTTTTTTTTTGTGATCAAATTATGTTACGATTCAAGTGAAAAGAAAATGGGTATTCATGAGTTTAGAGTACCTCATTAAATTAATTAATTTGATGAGAAAACGCCATATTTTTTAAGAATTTTCTTAGATGAAGCCATTCCCAAGCGAATATTTAAAAATTTGATAAAAATGGGTCTGTACCAAAGACTAGTTTTCGGCCTGATAGATTTCACAGCCATATTAACTTTTAAGTAAGAGAACTTTTACCACTGGCATAATTTCCTCGCCTCCAGAGCTGAGAAAAAACAATATAGCCTAAAAGGCAAGGAAGGAGAGAAAAACAAAAACAAAAATTGCCTTAATTTTAATTGTTAAATGGAAATCGATACAATTGGTATGTAAAGGAAAATAAGTTTTCGCATTCGAAAACGAATGTAGGCGTTTGAATTTGATAAAATTGATACTGAAATAAAAATTTTCTTAGAAAGTGTTCGTGTTGTATTTATTACTGCTTTATTTAAAATTTTACTACAGGAGAGCATTCACTCTTAAAATTGCTTTATCTCGTCGTAATATAGTAGCAAAACTATTAACTAAAAAATATATTTGAAAAATTTATAATGGTGTTGGCTGCTTTTGAGAATCATAAACTCGAAACATCTCGTGAAAAAAATGAAAATAGAAACTATAAATAAGTAATTCCTAATCATTAGGGGACTTATTTAATTCTAATGATATTATTATTATTAAATTTAACTTAAATAATTAGAGAACATCAGATTTAAATGTGACAAGATGGTAGAAAAAAAGTAGATATTTATAATGAAAATAAGGAATAAGCATGGCGATTATTAAAAGAGATGGGATGTTAGACAGTAGTGAAATTTTATATTTTGTAATTCTGAAATTTTATTTTAATACCATAAACATGACCAAAATAACGTTAAATAAAAGAATTCAAAGGTTTTCTAAATATCCTAGGAATGAAAATTACCGATCCGTCTAGATTTGCCATCATCAATCTTCAGATTGCTTTTGAAGCCCTTTCCTAATAGAATCTGATGGGAAGATGCTGGCTGGGAATCTAGATTAGAGGAGATGATTTCCACATCAACTCCCTAGGACTAATGGCTTTGTCAGACCCTGCTTTTCATACTTTATTTTATCTTTATTTCAATAAGAATAAGGATCATTTAAACTTAAATGTATTAATTAGTTTTTCAATGCTTTATTGATAAATATTACATTCTGTCATATTTAATAACAATAGTAATAGTAATAGAAGAGTAGCTAATTCATACTATGTACAATAAATAAAAATAATTAAACAGCAAAATAATAATACTATAAGAAAATGTATATAAACTAACAAAAAGAAACTAAACTACTTAAATATACATATGCTTTTATACAGTATTTACAAAATTCATTCACTTAAGATCTCCGATCCAAGACTTTCCTCCCACTCGTGGAAGGAAAGACAGGACTCTAGGAGATTCCAGCGCCTCTCATTTAGCCACATTACTAGTATTAAGGACTAGTAGAGGCTGAGCAGTGATGCTATTACCAAACATACATGCCTTGAGTGTAGAATCGAGCGATTGAAAAAACTCCAATATATGCTACAGGTATCTGGACCACTGCCGCTTCAATCTTCAACCAGGATTGTATGGATGGGTAGAACTAGATAGGGATTATGCAAATGAATTTGGATGATAAAGGTTTTGATGGAATTTAGAAAAATTTTCAGAGATAAGGTCTAGGACAAATGGGATATTAAGGTCATGGTGTAGGTTTGTTTGTTTGTTTCTTTCGATGTCTAGGCACAAAACATCCAGGTCATCAGCGTCCGATCAACTAAATAACACTACTTTTGTACTGTTCAGGTGGTTGGTACAAGAAATAAAAATAAAAAAAGGAAAAAATTTAAAAAAAGAATAAAAAAAAATAAAAGAATTAATAGAATAAAATAAATAAATAATGATAATAATATACACTTATAGATAATAAGATAGATTAGATAAATTAATAAACTAAAAAAATAGCAATAAAATCAATAAATGAATTAAAATTAATATATCAATGAACTTTTAAATTAAAAAAAAATAATAAATAAATCTAAAAATGATCATTAGTTATAAACTTGTCATATATGTTTTATATTTTTTTCATTGTCTAGGAACTTCATAACTTTGGTAAGGATTTCCCAGGGATGCTGATATATTCTGGGGTATTTCGAGATCTTTTCACCTTGCGGTGTAAAAAAGTTATGGTGAAGGATTTGGTTGGTTACATAGAACAGAGCATCATCTATTGTTCAAAGTAAATGGAAATTGTTGATTTCTCCTTGTCAACTCCATTCCAGTAATTAATGAAGTGTTATTTCAAATACAAAAATTAACATGATGTTTTTGGCTATTTTTATTAATGTATTAATTATAATTATAATAATATTTTACATATCAAAACTCCATTTTTTGTTTTGTTTTTTGTGTAGATAAGCAATCAAATTATACTATTGAGATGATTTTGGTATATTTTCAGGACCAACAAGAAGACCAGCTTTGAGTTTGGATCTTCATGAATGTGGCCAGAAAAGGTTGTCGCTGGACTTTCCACCACCACCTCCGATTCCACCTCAACCAGACCCGATCGACACAAGTCTTCCACTGGAGAGGCAGGGGTAATATTATCTTACCTTCCATAAAAAATAAAGATAATTTCAAGGATGAAAAAATTGTCAGGATTCACATTCAAAAATTTCTTTAATGAGTTAGCCCATGTTACAACCCAAACATGTCAGTCATCGTCAAGGTTAAAAATTAAAAAAATATAAAATAACATCAGAAAAATGATAAATATAAAAGTGTAAGAATAAGAAGAGTGAAGAATGACAGTAACAAGGTAAAAGTAATAAGAATAAAGAATCAGGCAAATGATAAACACAAAAGTATAAGAAAAGAAAAAGTTGTATTTTCCTATATGTTTGTATTGATATTTCTATATATTTAATGACTGTCAATAATATATGTATTGATATTATCGTATGATATTATATCCTTAATCTTTTCAAAGATTAAAAATATCAAAGCACAATTCATCGAAATTTCAATGTATAGGATTACTATTTTGTTATACATTAGAAAAATATTAATACGGTATATATTATTTTGATATTTAAGTCTCTACTCTCAAGATAGTGTGAGTTCGAGAATCAACTTCAACCAGGATCTGCCTTTCCTGGACTAGTGCGGGGTCTGATTTATAATCAGCTCTAAGTATATCTTAGTGTTTAAAAGCACTAATAATGGACCTTTGTATTACAAAGATTACTAAAAACTATAAATAACGCTCAAATAAATTAATAAATGTATGGTTACAATATTCCAATTAAATAAATTAAACGGTTTAAAAAAATATTGTCACTTGGTTAAATAGAAACATTAACAACTGATAACATAATTATCAAACTAATAGACTGATGATATTACAACATTATTGAAAACAAAATTAATTGTTCTGTTTTATAAATGAATACCAATATTTCAAGAATTTTTAAGAAAATATGTAGAAACCTGTAAAGATCATGTAACAGAAGAAGATACCAAGAATACTGAAAAATTTTTTGGTTTGAAATGAACTGGAACAAATTTTTTTTTTTTTTTTTTCTTCCTGCCTTGCCTTACAGGCTATACAGGTTGTATTATAGGTGACAACCTCACTTGGACATACCCATTCTTCTTCTATTCTTAACTTAATATGATGTGCTCTGTCAGTCGTGCCTCTCGAAACAGGACAAAACATGGAAGTGGACAACAGGTTTAAAATACATGCTCCCTAGCAACATGGCTATGCGATATGATATGCCTCTGTATGTAAATATTTGACCCCATACACACACATACCTTTTATTTAAATAGATTCATACAAAATCAGTATTTATAAAAAATTATTCCTTAATAATGTGTGAGTTAGAAACACTCCTTCATTCAATATTTTCTGTATGTAGATCCAATCAATCCATCTATATATCGGTAATATTTTTTAATGGGCTAAAATTGATTGAATTTAGGTAGATTAAATTTTAAAAAGAAATGTCTTTGAGTAGTGATCATTATTATTTTATACCATGATTTTCTATTTTTATTATTTTTAAAAAGCTCACCTAAACTTGATATTAACTTTCTGTTATTTTAAAAGTGTCCATTAAACAAGAACAATAATTAATAAATTCAATTCTGTTTCATATAATTAATTGTCTTATATTTATTATTCCTTGATCTTTTGATACATTGACTCATATTTATTTACCTGTCTTGTTTGTTAAATTAATTTAATAATTTTAATTTCTTGAATATGTGAGATGTTATCTATTTTTATTTTTTGTTGGAAATTATTGCTGAACTTTTTTTCTTTTTATTTGGTTTTTAGTTGGTATCATGGGGCAATCACACGTCTTGAAGCAGAAAATATTCTGCGAATGAACAAGGAAGGAAGCTTTCTAGTCAGAAATAGTGAGAGTACCAAACAAGACTACTCATTGTCTCTCAAGTAAGTATTGAAATAAAAAATAACTAAGTATATATTCATATATGAATGAAAATATATGAAGAAAATTTAATCAAGAATAGACAAACAAAGTAGGGTTTGCTAACACCAATGTATCATTTCCTAGTCCACTGTTCATAGTTTCTCTATAACTAAAGTTTAAAGTAATATAATATAAGATTTTAAGCAGTTTGAATGTCAGTTGATGTCAGTGTGTCATCCATTAGCTTTAATCAGGGATATGTCATAATAATATTTATTATTATGCCAATTAATTTTGTATCGAAAATACGTCGCTGTCATATTTAAATTGCTATTAATCACTTTTACTATTTCGAATGCATTTTTTTTTCTTGTTGCAAACACCATTATTCTTTCTGTAAATTGTTAAATTTAAAAGCAAATCATTAATTTTTTATTGATAATTTGAATTAGTTATTTTAAAATAAAAATTATTTTTCAAACATATTATTTAATTAAGTTTATAAATAGTAAAACAAACTACTATCATAAAAATTATAGACATAACGGTAATGTCTCTGGCTTGATGAACTTATATTTGTAAAAACAAATAAAAGAAAAAGAACATGACAGACTAAGGAAGGATATAATTCTATGAGAATACATCTTTGCCATTAAAAGCAGTAGTGTCTTTAAATATTTCTAATTAAGGTATTTCTGGTATATTGTATTTCTGTAATTTAGGATGAGAAAATGAGACATATGTGACAGCCTTTGTATATTACTTTAAATTTTAATTGTAATCCATTCAATATATCTCTAATTGTGTTGGTGGTTTATTAATAGGCTTTGCAATTTTGTATAATTCTCAATAAGTTGCAGGCATTTGTCCGGGTTGCCCTCCCCTAAAACCAGAACTAATTAACTATACAAGAAATTTAGTTTATGAAAACGTGAACATTGAATGGGAAAACTGTTGTGATCTGAGGCCGTGATAGTTGAGTATACTGAGGCATTACCCGCTTAACATTCCTAGTGGCAGTGGTTTCAACCCTGCTTAAGCAGATTGAAATTTATTTTTTTGTTCACCCATGGAGTGAATCTCAGCCTTCCCACTCTGGTTTTAAAAACATTTTGTTCAAATTTAAAACAACTCCTGCCTCCTCCCTCCCCCTTCCAGTATGTTAAAAATGGCGTAGTAGGGAGTAACCAAAAAAATAAAAAAGACTTTTTGTTGTAACAACCAAGAGGAGTCAGTATTAACTTGTAAATCAGCTCCTTACGGCAGCAAATAATAGATGTTATGTCGCTTAAGTAAAGACTATTCCTATGTCAATAATTTTATTTTATTTTTTCCTTTTGTCATTACAGACCATGTAGATCTTTTGCCGCCTTGACAAGCCTTCTCCATCTCTGCCTATCTTGGGCTATTTTTTTCCATTTATCTGCACGCAGCTCTGTTGCATCTTTGTTGATTCGATCTATCCATCTGCTTTTTGGCCTTCCATTGCCTTCTATTTAGGCATTTATTGTTATGTAATTAGTAGAGGCCCAGATGGATTGCTATGAGCTACATGCCCTGCCCATCTTAACCTCCGTGCTTTCATATCATGGGATATTGATTGACCAGTTTCTGTAAGCAGTTCTTTATTGGTCTTTCTTCTCCATGTGTTAGTATTCTGATCCCAGATCGCTCCGGTTATCATGCGTAGGATTTTCCTTTCAAAACTTTTTTGTAGGGCGCTGGTTAGTGTCCAGGTCTCACAGCCATATTTTAGAACTGGCTTATCATAGCATTATACACCCTTAGTTTGAGATTTTTCATGATTTCAATACCTGAGAAAGTGAAGAAAGCTCTGTTTGTGCTGGTCATTCATTGAGGTTATTGTGTAATGATTTTCCTTCTATGCAGATAATGTTATTGGGATGAAATTTTCGGCTTATTATCATATATTTTGTTTTATCTTAATTTACTTGTAGGCCGATCTGCTCTGCCTTTCTTATCAGTGTTGTAGCGAGTTTCTTAATGTCTTCTCCATGATTATTTCCAAAGACAGCTATATCATCTGCATATCCAAGGATTTTATGATTCATTCCTATGTGGACCCCTCCATTTTGCTGTGATGTTGCTCTTATTACCTTCTCCAGGGCTAATAAGAGTACTCTAAATTTGGAGTCATTTGTACACGCCTTTGTTGATCCCACCAACTTACCGGGAATTCCCAACTCAGTCATGATTTTCCAAAGAGAGCTCCTGTCCACAGAATCATAAGCTGCTTTGAAATCGACAAATAGGGCGTGGACGTCCTGAAGTCAATAATTAAGTATACCAAATTTCTGTCAGTGTTATTAAAATATCTAACTTTCAAGAAGATATACTTCAGTTTTATGTTTTTTTTTCTTTATTATTTTATTTAGTTTTCAAAAACTAAACAAGTTTTTCTGTTTTTCTAGGAGTGCCCGAGGATTTATGCATATGCGGATCCAGAAGTGTAAAGAGACTGGCAGGTTTATATTAGGACAGTTCAGCAACCCGTTCGCAAGCATCCCAGAAATGATCAAGCACTACTCCGTCAACAGGCTTCCTATACGAGGGGCAGAACACATGTGCCTCTCCCATCCCATCATTGAGCAACTCTTATAGTCGGATTTTCGAGGCGTATTTTTATAATTTATTCATTTTACATATATATAAGAGTATGTTATACATTATGTGATTCAACTCTCTTAAACTTTTACTGTTACAATTACAATATAGAAAATTAATTTAACCAGTTCAACTTTATTCAATGACAGTTTTCAGTCAAGAATTTCACATAAGGTGTTAATAAGCTTCATCAAGTTAAATAAAAAATAAGCTTAAGTCAAAACTTATGTACTTTCATAAGAGCATATATCATATTGCATCAATCATGGAATATATTCAATTTCTCTAATACAAACTTTAAAAACTAAACATTAATTAACTACATGATGTCTTAAATTATAAATTTTCTGGAAGAAAAATATATATATTTCGTTCACTTATAATTTTTTATATCTGCAAAACATTTAAATTTTTCAATAAATTAACAATAACTGATAACTATAGAACGTAAATAACCATAAAATAGCATTGAAAATATGAAGATTTTAAATTTTAATTAACGTAATTGTCAATGATAATACTAAAATATATACCAATATACTATAATATTAATTATATTCGATGGTATGTTTTTCAAAGCCATACTTCTATAAGACATAAGTCAACAAACAATTTATGAAAAATGATTCTTTAGAAGTTTCATTCTATAATACAGAGAAGTATTAGAATTTTGTTTTCTGTAACATTTTTTTTTTTCATAATTATATAAAATGGACCAAATTATACAAAAAAAATTGAAATTTGTAGTAAGAAATCAGTTGTAATCTCAATATAAATTCCTGTTTTTTTCTCACCTGTTCCACAGTTGAATTGTTATGAGCTAGGTAACGTAACAGATAGAACAGTAGCTTCTGTTGTAAAAAAAAAAAATTAAATAATGGTTAGGCATATTAATTTTTTTCTAGATAAAAAATCAATGAACTATGTCAGTATTCATGTGAATGGCAGTTTGAAATATGTTTAAAATTCTTCCTTAATCTAATGATTATATTTTTTGAATAGTTATTTTGATTATGGTCTGTATTTATATGGAGTCATGTTTGATGCAATATGGTAAAAATTCACTTGTTTAACTATAAAACAATTTTTTTTAAAAAGAATTCTCATTATTAAAATAAATAACCATAACCATGTTTTGAATTCATTATCTGAAAAATATTTAACTTAAGATATTTTAGTCGAACAGTTTTTAAATAGCTATAAACCTGAAGATATGTATTTAAAAGATTTCTGAAAAGATCAGAATTATAATATAGTTCTGAAACTTTAATATTTTCCCTTATTTATAAATAGCTATGTAGAACTTGGAATCTAAACATATTTTATATAAAGTAAAATATTATAAAGAGCCTAAATATATCATGTAATCTCTCCTTACTACTTATATTTTATAAAATCTTTATTCTTATATCTACAAAAAAAAAAGAAAACAATTAAATAAAAACAAAAATTAGATTGTTTCGAAGACTATACATTTAACAATATTCAGAATGTTAATAATATCAAGTGATCTTTGATGGTGGTTATTTTATTATTATTTATTTTTTTGAACTTTTGAGTGTAGGGATGCTCCAGTACAATATACCAATGACAACCAACTATAGGACAAGCAATGATTGTCTTTTTTTTCATTACTTCAAAGACTAATTACATTGAATTTACGTTTTACACAATTTGAGAGTTATAATTATCAGATATTTACAATAAAATTGCTTTGGCATTAAACCGTTAAATTTGCATCAATATTAATTAAAGAATATATGCATAAACAAAAAATATTCAGTAGATTCTAAGATATTAGTGGATTTCCGCCCAAACATAACGGAATTAATTAAATGAAACTATAATGTGTCTTTAAAATATGAGTCATATTGTTTCTACTGATTTTGTTTCTTCATGTGAAGGTGATAATATGGCTTTCAATGATAAAATCTAGTTCTTAAACGAATAGAACAGAAATAATGTGCAGTTTGATCTCTCAAATCTGTTGGAAGTACTGGAGGGTTCAAGAATTTAAAGTATATCAGATTCTTTTTCTTAAAATGTCAGTTGTTTTTTTTTAAGGGGATAGGATAAACATCAATTTAAAAATCAATTAAAGCTAATATTTCATTAATTAATAAAATTTTACTCCATAAATTTCTATAAAAATGCAAATTTTTTTCATTTTCTTGGTACACGGAGAGTTAAAAAAAAAAAAATCAAATTCATAGAAGCCATTTATTAAGGTATCAATTTTAAGGATGTTCAAAATGTTTTAAACAATCTATCAAATGTATTTTTTTAATTCTTACAGCTTTTTGCGAGATTAAACTGAGGCACAAAGTTGAGCATTTTCATATATATTTCACAGAAATCATCTCAAAATATTTATGTCCACTTTAATAACATGATGGCTTATAAATTCAGTTTCTTTTGCAACTATTTTTACTTATTTATTTTTTTTAAAAAACGTATAAGAAATTTTGTTCATATAAAATTTAGTTTTATTATATAATATCAATCTTTTTTTTTTTAACTCAATATAAAACCACATATCAAATGGTAGTCTTGATATTTGTGCTTGAAAAAATTAATTTTAAAAAAATATGTTACCAAAATATAATTCATTAAATGATATAGTCTGTATATTTGATAATGGGATAGAAGTTAGATGATGTTAAAGCCAAAGAATTAGCTGTGAGTTTTATTTATACTCTCACTACATTAATATAGAATTAGAATTCAACCATGAACATGAACTTTGTACTTCTTTGATCCACCAATCATACTATATTATGTATCTCGTTGAAAGGAAAGTTTTGTTGGAAGACAGTATTTGCAATTAATTTCTAAAATTATTCAAATTAAAACAAGAAAATGGTAAAGAGAGGTAATAATTTGTAGCATTAGTTTGCTAATGTAATAGCAGTGATGTGAAACCTGTTAAGAAAACATTTTACCTCTTTCAATAAGTGTATGTTCATGTTTTCGCTGATACTTTTGTACATATCGTTAGGCATGTAATGAAGGTATTAAAATATTTTATTTATACTACGTTAACCCATTCAGTGCCAGGCATTTTATTAAAGATGTAATTCATATTAATATTTTTAAGTTAAGTATACATGTATAATAAAGTAAGTTTTATGTTTTATGGTGTTAGGTTTTCTGGTGTTTATCTGAAACAAAATAAAAGATAAAAAATATTAACTCATATTCAAACACCTAGTTAATTCAAATTTTAACATTGAAAGACTTGGCAATTTTTAATTGTCTTACATACTATAAAGAATTTCCAAGCCATATAATTCTTATTTCTATTTTGTTCATTATATTTTTATTTTTTATATAACTACAAAATGTATTTACCTACATTTCCAAATGTGAAACATTTGTTTGATATAATGAAACATTTTTTGTTTTGTTTTTAATTTAAAATCAATATTTCTGAAAAAAAAAAAAAATGCATTGGCAATACAAAATGAATCATAGTATAATATTTTTTGTTGTGAATTGTCATGTTTTAATTGGAAAATGAAATATGATTTCATATTTTAAAATATGAGCAATTGAAATAATCTAAAATAATTGTGACTATAGTTCGAATTGAGAGTTGAGAGCCTGAGGACTAACTCATTTGGCAGTATACTGAATCACATTTTTTTTTTTTCTGAAACCTTCGATATTGCTTACCAAATATATACCTATATTGAAAGATAATATAATATAAAAGATAATAACGTAATCTTCTAATTTATGTATAAGTTAATAAATATTTTTTAAATAATGTCTGAAGGTTACGGAATAAAATGACAAAGTGATAAAAAAAAGAACAAAATAAAAACAAAATGTTGAAACTTAGTGCCGCATAAGTTCGTCATTGGGCTGTCAACTAATAACATTTAAACAATAGTAAGATACAAAGTAATGTTATTTCAGACATCAACTATTTGATATGAACCGCAGATAGAACAAACTTAAGAAAAGTATAACAGACAATTTTTTAACCATTCTTTTTTTTTTTTTAATTTAAATCAAACAAAAGCTTCTCTTGTCATATATACATCATTTTATTAATAATAATTAATACAATTTAATATGAAAAATAAATGAAATGTCTCCAAGCGTTTGTTACAAGCGAAACAATAGATTTCAGCCTAATTTTGATATCAAATTAAAACCGTGAGTGAAACATTATGGACAAGAAACAAATTTAAACTACTTTTCTTATTAATTGTTATTATAATTATATAACTTTTAGCTGTTTTCTGTTTAAAAATTGTCAGTGTTCATAAATATGAAAACTTATTAAAACTTTATTAATCACAAAATATAATATAATAATGGATATAATTGCATCTTAACAAATTCATTTGGATAGATACCATGAAAAAGATTTGTCTATTTCGGCACGTATATGGCCTGCCTAAGCACAGTTTTCGTGATCAAAACTTGAAAGGGTTAACCCAACCTATCGACAATATTAACAGGTATTTTAGTTTAATCTTATACAATTATTTCTTCCACCCTCTCGCATTTAAAGCTCTTCCATATTGTAAACACAATTTACTTGCTAACCTTTAGTGATACAGATGTAAAATTTTATTATATGTATGATATTTAAACAAAAATCATTCTGAACTCGACTGAAATAGGGTATGTAATTATTTTTGTAAAATGTAGAAATGTATCGTAGGAAGACATTGCCAAATTCTGTATAATAGACGGAACTAAGTATGCTGAAATACTCTTAAAATGTAATGTAATTAGTTATGTATACATTTTTAGTTCTTCAAAACTTTTATTTTCATTGTAATATAATACTAGATTTTTTTTTTGTATATATTTTTAATAAACCACTTGGTTTTTGTAGTTACCAGTTTCTAGATAAAACTTATTTTTTATTAGTCCTGAATAAATTGTAATGTTGGGGCGAGAGGTAAATATTTCTGGGACCTGTTTGATAATTTTGATTAAATTCTTGTAAGAAAATTGTTTTGATTTTGAAGGCATGTACTTAGGTTGTGATAATACCTATATATATGTACAATACATATATATATTGTTGATTCATGTTGTACTTTGGTATTGTAGATAGATGTATGTAATTCAAAATTGTCATATTTTAGAATAAACTGTGTTATAATTCAATTTGTATCAGTAAATTGAACCTTTTTATACCCAGATAAAGATATTAAACTACACTATTCTCATTTTTAAATTTTGAAAATATGAAATAATATAATATAAAGTAACTCCTCATATTATATCAATGGTCAACCATCTCTACATCATTAAAGGTGTTAGTCTACTGAACTTATGCTGCATACAATAATTAGCAGGGAGCTAATCTCATGCTTTGTCTCCCTTAGGCCACTGCTGTCTTCTCCGTCGCCCTGTTGCCACGTTCAGAGAGGTGTAGTCGATGGGTTCATTTGTGACTCCTCTCTAATTGTCCGTGTGTGGGGTCAGACTCATAGCTGTGCATTGTTATCATGATGAAGGCAGCCAAGTAAATGGAGGAAGACAGGGTGCTTAACAGGCACATGGAATTAAGGTATCGCTTTCAGTGAGAGAAAGTAAAACAAAATGAGGGCAGAGGGCCTCTGTGCGACATATACAAAATGATTTTTCAAAGTATATAATAAATTTGTGAATGAATAATTTGTATTGGAACGTTGAGGAATTTTGGCATTCCCTTATAATCACTGTTACCTTCATTAGTACCAGAAGGATGATCATAGAGACAACACTCCTTAGAAAGCTCTTGAAGCTGGTGAAATGCTGGGATCCGTAGTTTCTCTGAGTGAGGGACTAAGGGACTTACAGAGGCTAAATCAGGTTCAAGCAAGTCCACTTACTACCATAGTTTTGATTGATTCCAGTAATATTTACTAGACAAACATAACATTTATTGATATGGTTTTTGGGTTCCCTCCAAAGCATCGGAATGCCCAATTTCCCTTGCTAGTACACCGATCTAAATGCTCTTTTAAAAAGTTTTAAAAAACCCGATGCGGTGACCAGGATTTATCCTGATCGCCGAGCTTAACTTCAAAGTATCCATGATAAGCTGTCTTTGCAAGGTCACTAACAGTCTTTCGGTTATGTTTTATTGTGTCTTCTCCTTGCATATGTAGCAAAATGCATCAGGATGATTTACACAATTTCTTCTACTTGAACTGATTTTTTATCATCTTTGATCTATCCTACATGGCTAAAATTCACAAACTGACCACAAATTTAGTTGAAGCGTTGAAATGAAGAATGGGATTCCCTGTGACAAAGTGGGATTTCCCTGTCTGGTTAGGCAGGAAGGAAACGAGTTGAGTCAAGCAGTCAGTTTTACTTCTCTTTTCAAACCTTTCTCAAAACGTAGAACTGGTAGAAAAAAACTGATTTCAATTATTTTTGTCACCCCAAATATAGTTAAATATACCCTGTGTTAGACCTTTACTTTTATTTTTCCAATTTTCAAACAATCATATCTATGCCAGTTATTCCATATAAAATTAACTTTTTTTACTATGACAATAGTAATACAATACAAAACAAGATATCTTTCTTTTTAGCCCTGATGAAGATATACAATGTGGATCGAAATGTTGGTATTAAATAATCTAAATCTAAATAACTAAATCATTAGCTGTTATTTGATCACAATTTTTGCTAAGTATATGTCCATTTGAAGAAGGGCGAAGGTCTAAAAGTAAAGTGAATAAAAAGCAGTTTCCAAACGATGGGAATATTGAAGTACCTGAGTTCACATATTAATGAAAAATAATTTTTATACTAGGACATTATCTTACAGGTCCACTAATAATAAGAAACAAAAAAACAAGTTAAAAAAACAAAAATTAGGCAAGTGGAAGTCAAACACATGAGCAAATGGATGACAAATAAGTATGATAAGATTCGATTGTTGAGGAAATGAAGGAATTAGTAGTATTTAAAAAAGGCTATATGAATTTAAATGAGCAAGGCACTGTGAAAGAAGATTCTTCCAAAAAATCAATTTAAAGTTAGAGAGAGATTGTAATCTAATGTTTAAGAATGAGGAGATCAATAATATAGGGAGGACTTGGATAAATATACACAGTAATATTGCCATTAAAGCAATGATAACTCTGACAGATGAATCTTGTTATTAGTGATACATCATTCAGTGATACATTAACAACTTAAGTCTCGCTTTTAGTTAACCAGAGAGATCCTCATACCTTAAAAATTCATAATCATAATAGAAATATAGCTAAATACTATGTTGTGATTAATTAAATATTTATATATTTAATTGATATATTTCAAGTACGGAGATGACTGCTAAATATACTTGTCCATTACCCATTCTGATTTTTTTTTTCCTTCTAAAAATTGAATAAGATCTATTGCAATAATTTTATGTGTTAATCAAAATTAATTAAACTGAAGCGAGTTGAGCAAGTTTTTTTATTTTCTTTCTTCCATTCTCTAGTTTAATAATTTATTGAAAATGTGTATTTTTTATCCAACAGTTGAAAATCTTAGTGTAACCTTAAGTCAATCTATCTTCAGTACCCCTTATTTCCCAAATTTCCAAGCATTGTTTTACTATTTTTAGCAATTATCACATTTCCTTCCTCAAAAATGCATAAATGCCTTGTTTCATCTCGCATTTTCTTCCATGTTAATTATGGCTGTAAGTTGTATGTTGGACTCATAGGGGAACACAATGATAAATTAAATATTTGTATGAACTGTCTTGTTAAACCGGTACATTTTTTTTTTTTTCTAACTGTTTTCAAACAATTTCCTTGGTTTATTATTGAACTGCTCCATTTATAATCTTAAAGGCTTTCAAATCTCTTCTTTTATATCATCTCCTTTCTATTTTAGCAATTATAAATTAATATATTTGTAATGTTTTTTTATTAATTTTGTTTAGATGTCAAAGTAATATTTTTATGTTGAGATATTGTTGTTGACTAATGATGGAGATATTGTTTGTTAAAGATATAATTAAATAGAAGATAGTTGATAATGATGTTTAACATGTATCAATGCTTCATAGTAGATTGTTGATCAACATCAGAGTTGACTCGAGAAAGCAAGCAACCTGGTCAGCAAGGCGAGTGACTCGTTCATTCGACACCTATTTGTTTTCTCTTATGAAGTCAACACTAATGAAGATCTAAAACTTGATGAGCTGAGAAAAATAACAACTGAACCTTAGCACATATTACAGGATAATATCTTTCTTTGTTTTTCATTGCTGTACACACACCCAACCATCTTCTTGAAAAGATGAAAATAATGACTTATATTATTATCAATTATTAAAATGAACTTTTGTTCCAGGGTGAATATCGAGACACATTTTGATCACTTTAAACTTTTCTAATTTTTTTCTAAAGGGATAAGTTCCAAAAAGAGAATTCACCCAACCCCATGAAACATTGTAACTGCGTTATAAAAAAATTAATGTAAGTCCAGAAAATCCTTTAGCAGTGTAAGTGTTTACCCTAAAAGTTCATCTCAAGATTAATTTTATTAAATAAGTAGATGACATAGTAGTTCTTTCAGCTTTCTTAATCTAAATAATATTTGAACAGCTACTACTGAGTGTTAATCTAACTTTCAACTGGTTTTAAATGATTATTCTCTTACATATGAATTCCTTTAAAGTGAAATTTCTTATTTTAAAATGGTAGCAATTTCTTATCATAATTAAGATATAATGATGAAGTGGTTTCAAGGAATATTCTTGTGAAATATGTAAAGAAAGGACATCCAATGGTATTTATTTATTTTTTACTTTAATAAGAATTGGTTTTAGATTAATGAGTGTAAAAAAATGAGAATTTCTGTATACATCTAAATCATATATAAATATAAAAGAATACATCAAATATAACTTGTATTAATTAAACTAAGAAATCAAAGAAGATTCCGAATCTCTCGGTAATTTATTTTTTCATGTTTGGGAATTATACTTAATATACCTACGAATAATTTTTTTAAGAACAACAATTGGAATTGGGGTTAGAAATAATAATACAAAATTAACAACTCATGAAAGTCTAAACAAAGATGAAAAGGAATGAATAAAAAAGTAAATAGGTCTGTGTTTACAAATATTGTTTTTTACTTTCCTACCTCTACCTTTACTAGATAAGGAAAGTATTGCATTGGGTCAAATTTCCAATATGCAGTATTTGAAGGATACGTTTCAGAGTCCTTGATTTCGAAAAACACATTTTTAGCCATTGGTCTATCTGTCTGTGCCAAGATTTTCTCGGAAACTACTGAACTGATTTTGTTGCTTCTTTTTTTATTTTGTAGAGTTTTGACAACTGATGCCTGTGACTCAACTTGGATGCTCCATGCGCAATAGCTGTTGCTCAACAAATTAAAAACATGTTTTACTATAGACTGTTGCAGGAAAAAATGGCTCTAACGATTTTGATAAAACTTTCCTATAATGTTCTAATAATTGTCCTTTCAATTTTCGTATATGGACTAAATTCTCAAAAAAATTATAAAGAAAAGAAAAATGTTTTGGGGCCTAACTCGCTCAGTATATATTCTATGATAAAATTTAAATGTAATAAAATGTAAGATTATGGGTTTATATCTTGGTGTGAGAAAGGGGTGAATAAGAGAAAAAAGATAACTAAGCGAAAGTAAGAAAATCTGCTTCCCGCAGCTCTCAAGCTTCTCTATTTCCTCTATTTTTAACATTAACAGCAATATAAGAGGGTATTGACATTTTTACACTGATCTATCTTAGGCCGGTTTACATTGCTTTAGTTTATCGAATAAATCGCACCCAAATCTTTTCTTTGATAAATTTTCAGGAAAATAAATCTAATTCAATTTTGTTTTGTTTCTTGATGGACATATGTAAAGATATAAAAACTTTTCTGAAATAGGTAGGAAAGTCGTGTGAGTGGACACACCAGATTTTTCTTTATAGTTTTGTCCCTCATTTATGTAGCCCCCTTGGCACTGATTGTAGAGGTAGTTTTGGGAGCAAATGGCTGATGGTGATGCCCAGTTCTTAGGATCATCTTGGGGTGAACTCTGATTTTGGTGCCGTATCTCATAAAAATTGGCCCATTAATCTCGAATTGCTAGCAGCATTCAGTTTTTGGATTCTACTGTATTAAGCTGCC